ACACACACGCACACGCACACACTCAGCCGTTTTTTTGTGTTTTTTTGGAGAACGTCGTCCTGCTTGTTGGCATGCTGGCGGTCTGAATGCAGACCGCCAGCATCAGGAGAGAGAGAGAAAGAGAGAGAGAGAGAGAGAGAGAGAGGGGAGAGAGAGAGAGGAGAGAGAGAGAGAGAGGAGCTAGGGGGAGTTTCGCTGTGAGGGGTAGGGTAGGGTGGGAAGGAGGGTCCGGTCCGGATCGTGACCCGGCCTCCACCCAACTTCCCCGTACTTGATGGCAGTTTAGTGAGTAGCTGAAGAGCCAGGATGAACGTTTTGCAGCTGCATGTGACAAAAACAACAAAGAAAACAAAACAACAACAACAAAACTCAAACTAATGGAACTGTTGCTGGTGGGGGAAGGAGGAGGGGAGGGGCGGGGAAATAAAGTAATGTAGAGGTAAGTTCCTACTTCTTTATATGAAAAAAGAACTTAACTTTAAAACAACATCGAGAAGAAAACCTATTAGAGACGATCCGAACTGTGCGTGCGCGTGAGTGCGAGTGCGTGCGCGTGAGAGAGAGAAAAAAAGTGGTTCATGGTCGCGGTGAACTCTCCTCTTTCATTTCTTGAATGTGATGTTCTGGGACGCGCTGTTTTCTACATTGTGCTGTGCATTTTTTTAAAAATGTTTTCTTCTTCAGTAAACTGTTGCGTTGGACTGCAATGGGAATGGCGACATGTTACCTCTGTTACTCACCTTCAGCTAACATGGTTCCGGACATAGTTTGCAGTTTGGACCCTGCCTCCCACCCCCCCTCTCCTTCCGGCACCCCTCAGCCCCCCTGTGGTTTTTGCGGTTCTACCCTCTAGTGACCAGGCGACCCCAGTCCTGCTCTTGCTCTGTGCTGAGACTCTGTGTGTGTTTGAGAGGACAGTCCCGATCCACCGACATCCAGTTGTTATGACTAATGTTTGGCTTGGTTACTCTGTTCATGATCACTCCTCTCGCCGCATGAAGGGTGTGTTTTTGAAACAATAATAATATTAATAAAAAATAATAATCATGGTTTTAAGTGGGAATGGCTCATCCTTGCTGTGTCACATATCTTGTTTATTGTTGCTATTATCATATTTACTCGTTTTCACTCGTCACGATTCTGTTTTTTTTATATGAATATAAATATATATATATATATATAAACTCCCATTCAAACCAGTATTGGTTTTGTATCCAAATCTAAGTATATACTCGCTGATATAGATTACAATTTGGTTATAGTTGTCTTTTTTTTTTGCCTAATTTTTTTTCCCCATTTTTTTTCAAAAAGGGGGGTTCCTATATGAGCGAGGCACCGATTGGCCGATGACGAGATTCAGTTTGCTCCAATCAGATCGCTCCTTGCTCTCTATTTATTGCCAGCAGTTTACAGCCTTGCTCCCTCCTCACCCAGAGCTTTAGAGCGGCTGCAGACAGCCAGCGCTTTTTTTTTTTTACTATACAGGCAGCAGATAACATTACACACACACACACACACACACACACACACACAGGCACGCGCGTACACACACACAGACACACACACGCGCACACAAACAACAAAACGCATCGGTGCACAGCTCATTGCGATCACACGGGTTTTGCACGGCATTGCGTTTGGCTATAGGGGACAAAAAGAAAAAAAATAATAAAGAATCTATGTAAAAGCAGTCTGCTTGCATGGGGATGCTTGAGGGAGGAGAGACGTGAGGGGAGGATAGAGAAGGATTCAAACTGGAGAAGGAGCGTAAGGACCTTGGATAGCTCTCAGTTGCAGCAGCAGCAGTAGTCGGAGACGCATCTCCCCCCTCTCTTCCCCTCCACCCCAAACCCTCCAACCCTCCCCACACCATCTTTTTCTATCATCCATCCTCTCCTCTTCCTCCTTCTGAGTACACGTTGGAGGAAATATAAGCCGCGGCTCGCTGAAAGCTGGAGATACAATCGACTGAGCCGGGATTGGAGATACAGGAGAGCGGGGCTACCCGGGTGTCACGGAGTCTCCGTGGGACCTCAGCTGCAGGAGCAGCGGCGGCGGCAGCAGCAGCAAAGATAATGTCCTTCACGAATCTTTTTGCGGTCTGGGCTTGCTGTTCATTACTATTAATCTGGGAAGCCCTTACCCCAAAAAGCATTTGCGGAGGGCGCAATCGCCGCGCCGAGACGTGCTCAACGCAAAGACCGGGAGCAGGGGTTTGGGGGGTGAGGGGGGTGGAGGTCTTTCCACTCGTGGAATTTTTTTAAAAATCGTATTTTTAATGGACTTTCCTCCTTTTTCTGCCCACTTTTCCATTTCGATTCATTGCTGTCGGTATTTACCCTGGCCATTTTCAGCACTGCCACAACTGTGGCGTTTTTATCATACTTGTTTTTATTATTATTACCCCCCCAGACCCCCTGTACGTGTCTCGGTATTTTCCCCAGTTTTCCTGGTTGGACCCTACGGTGAAGCGATCTCTCACTGACATTCATTTTTTTGTTCTGTTGTTGTCGACCCACACACACACACACACACACACACACACACACACACACACACACACACACACACACACACACACACACACGTGCTCTGACACCAAACTTTGGAGTTTGTAACATGAAGTCACTACTTCAAGCAAACACTCCCCCCACCCCTAACCCTCCCCCCCGCCCTGTCCCAAACTGAGCAAATGAGAACGGGGCCCCGGTCAGAGCCACGGTGTAAACACAGGGAGACCCTTCCGTGGAGGGTCGAGTTGAGGTGTCACTTTACTTCCCAAAACTCCACCACGATCTTACACCTGAAATCCCCGATTCAGAAAGTTTACAGTGGGAATCACGCACACACACACACACAAACACACACTCTCTCCCTCACACACACTCACAGGGCACACACATGTGTTGGGAGAGTGCAGGGTGAGAAGGGATTCCCCCCTCCCCTAAAACCGTCCATCCCGACACAGATACAAACCCGAGCTGGCAGCTGAAGGAGGGTTGCTTGCTGCTGTTCGCCCTTCTTTAAACCCCGGTCATTACGGCGACTCGAGACACATTTTCTCATTTTACGCACGCGCTCTCTCTGGAAACGTACACGTGTCACACTTTCCAAGTTTGTGAATAGAAGTTCATCCACGTCCCTCAGACATTGCTCACTTCATCCACCCCCCCCACCCCCCTGTTTCAACGTGCGAGAGAGAAACAAAAAACAGTAAAATAAAATAAAATAAAATAAAATAAAATATTAACCACGCTAAATTCCTGCAGCAGCAACAATTCGTCAAAGCTCTCCCAGTCACACAGCAAAGCCCCCGAACTCTGCTCTCTCAAGCGGACATTGTGATGGAACAAAGTTCGCGCAGCAAAGTGTTCGGATCGATGAAAACAAAAGCGAGAAGTGAAAATTTACGCAGTCGACGGAGAGAGTAAAAAGAAAAGATGAAGATCCGGCTGAGTTTAAGTTGGAGGAAAAAGAAGAAAGAAAAAGGGGAAGGACGAAGTTTAGACCGAGTTGCTTCACTTGCTGTCCCAGCCAGCAGCACATAAAGAGCGAGAGTAGGGGGGGACGGGTGTGCTCACAAATGACGTGCTTTTGTACGAGAATCCCCCTTCCTTCTGGTGCAAGAGATGAATATATACACGGTATTAATGTTTACGGCGATATAGATCACTACAACGGGATGTAAAGAGCAAGAAAGTCTCTTAAGTTACACACAAGAAACTTAGAAATTTGTCAATTAAAATGTCTGCTTCCGCGTGAAGTTTGAACTTGTTAGCGGCTCGCGTTTTAATCGAGAGAGGGAGAAAAAAAAAGAAGAAAAACAGGACAGAGAGGAAAATGGGTGGAGAAGTGGAATGAACGATTTGATTGTGACAGTCACTCCCGCCCTCTGAGGAAACCCCGGACCTGTGAGGAAGTCGTTGCACACTCGGTGGATTTTCGGGAGAACACCTCCGCTCCTCTTCGCCTGCTATCCTTTTTTTTATGTGTAATGCCGTCTGAATGCTTCAGATGGTTAAAGTACGAACCATGCTCTCTCAATAATCTATATATATATATATATATATATATATATATATATATATATATATATATATATATATATATATATATATAAAACAACAACAATAAGTATGTACAGACGGGAAAGCGACGTCAAATAGATTAAAACAAAAGCTGACCTCTGACCTAAAGTGCAGGCCTCATTTTACTTTGCATTTGTCTCCTAAGTCGACAAACAAAAAAAAAAACAAACAAAAAAAAAAGCCACCGTATTTGTAATAAAACGTGAAAATAACGGTGTGGAAAAGTGATTTATGGTAAAACAACAACAATAAAGGGGGTGAGGCGTGATTATGACTTTATGTTTTTTGCGTATAGATGTCTTTGTGCTCGGCGCTCAGAGGCAGCGTCGTCCAGGTTGTGTCTCGGCTGAAGGTCACGGAGTTTCCTTCCTCTCCCCGTCGATGTGTCCTCCTGACTCCGCGAGGCCTCCGGTGAAACATTCAGCACCACCAACACGACTGTCCCGTCTTTGTTTGTCTTACAGAAGAAGAAGAAGAAAGAAAGAAAAGGCACGGCTCGTCACGGAAGCGAGGCGACTCGAGTGGACTTTTACTGCTGAGCTCCGGACGGAGAGAAAAAGGCGACCAGGCGGTTTGGAGGTTTGCACCGAGGACAGACTGGCAGAGAGAGACCCCACTTCACTCCCAATAAGGTAACTGGACGACTCTCTCTGTTCGGTTATGACGTAAAGCTCAAATGTTGAATTGGGTTTTGCGTAAAGGCGCTTAAATTGCAGGTTGAGCGCGCGTGAGCCGGAAGAGGTGATGCTGGATTCCCCTCTGTGTGTTTTTGTGTCGCTGGAATTCAAACACCAAGTTGAATCACCTGCAGAGGAACTTATCTTAAAAGTAGTCTTTATGCTCAAAATCATGCATACAAGTTTTTATTTCACGCTCTGCTGAATTAATACACCCATAAAGAGCTTCGGCTGTGACGTTGTCCTTGTTTAGCGTCTTCTCGTTTTCTTTTTAGTGTGTTAATTTGATCACTAACGTTGGAGCAGAAGCACATTGTTGTTGTTGTCGTCGCTTTACAAGTCATCCGGTTTCTATCCGGCTTGAATGCTGGGTCACGTCAGGAAATTCAGCCTGTACAGTTTCAGCATTGCACACTTTTCTGTACGTTTATAAAACGCTTCTTTGTTTTGAACCGCGTCTTTTGCGTAACTTTGGATTTCCTGGTTTCTAGTTTCTATGATTTACTGAGAAAATGAGGCAGCGTCCCTTCTAAATGTCTGCATATGGTGGGAAAAAAATAAATATATATTCACAGCATGTAAGCATATCTTTCCGCTTATTGTGTAAGTCAGCTGTGTGAGATTGTTCATAAGACTGGGCTGAGGTCCCGCTGCTGGGACAGGCAGCGGTTTGCATAAAATGTTCCAGGAGCGGCTCTTGGCTCTACCGGGGCCCCGGGTGGGCCCCCGTTGTTTAAAGCCCCACCCCCACCCCGGGCCTCACAGTTTGTAATCAATGTAAGATAATTCAGAACATTCAATGAGGCGTTCACTTTAGATTAAAACGTTTGGATGTTCAGCAGGTTTGCATTCAGAAATACAAAAAAATAAAAATAAAAAATCTAGTATATCACACTTAAACTGGCCACACTTAAAAAAAACATTGTGAAAGTTGCAGGTTTAAATGATTTATTAGCAACTTTTATAGCTTGTATCTAACTAAATAACATTTAATTAGTGGTGTAGAGTATATATTAAGAGCATTTTTTTTTATTTGAATACCTAAAGTGAAGACACAATAAATAATTATCTTGTGTTGCTAAATTGCACTCACAAAAAGGCACATAAAAAAAACACCCAGAATGTTCTCCATTGGGTGTGACATCATTTACATATCTGAGCTCCGATTTCTGAGAGAAACCAAATGCAACAAATTGACTGTGTTTCATTTCATATAGAGCTGAAATGAAACAGTGTTTTTATAGACGGACTAAAAGTTGCATAATGCAGTTGTAAAGAATAATACAGTTCAACTTTGGCAAGTCTAAGTGTTTTATATTTACCCCTACAGATGACAAAGTAGTGTCTATATTATAAAACAAATAAATAAAAAACATTAATTTTATCTACCAATTGGAAGCTTCAAATTTATATATATATATATATATATATATATATATATATATATATATATATATATATATATATATATATATATATATATATATATATATATTTTTTTTTTTTTCCCACCCCTGGTAGACTGATGCCCTGGGCAGTGAGCCGGAGTCTATTCCAAAATCCAGCTGTGGTTTTTACGAGCGCACACAGAGCAGATTGACGCATAGAGTACCTGTTGAAATGTTCAGCTGATAGTTATAAGAAAATGTAATATTCATCTGGCTCCAGGTTTTATTTTTTTTTTAAGACTCATCATTACCATCACAGTGGATCCATCTCATTTCAACGTTCCCACAAACTCCCCACAGCCGACCTATTGACTTTTTTGACGTCGCTCTCTGACCCCCAAAAAAGTTTCAGCGTGGCGTTCCCTGAAACCGAGCGACCCCGTGACGGGAGCGTCGCTCAGCTGGGCTTCAGGAGAACGACGCCAAAACAATCCGGTTGAAACGAGGCTCTGACAGATCCGGTCGGAGACAAGAGTCGGGCCGACCGAGTCACCAGATCCTCACGGGTTCTCGTCACTCGAGGAAAACGACGACTGACTGCTGTGCCTTTGGGAGCTGTTTGTCTGTTTTTCCTCTGAAAACAGTCTCTTCATCACACACAATGTATGTGCTGCATGTCTGCTGCCTTCTGGAGACGGATCTCTCGCCGTGTGTTGTGTGTCGGAGCCAGAGACGTGGCGGTTTCTGCTCCCTTCGTGCCCTCACACGCGGCGCTGGTGTGACCCGATCCCTGAGTGGTTTCTAAACTGCATGATCAGGATTTAAGTTTATTAGCAAAATTGTGGGGGATTACAGTTTCCTATCACTTTGTTCCATAAACCACATCTTGACCAAATACAAATACAGCTGTTTTCATTTTACAAACTTGTATTTTTTTTCGGCCTGTTTGTGGTTTTTCTAAAAGAACCAAAGTGTCCTGGTGCGTCCAGCTCTCCTTGAAGCGATAAATCACAGCATGTTCTTAGAAAAAAAAAAAAAATCCGCTAACAATCGTTTGTCTCGTTTGATACCAGCCACCGGTGATGAAGCTATATTTAGGACGGTGACGTCACTGAAAAAACTGAAACCGAGGGGCTTTGAAGGCATGAGCAAGAAAAAGAGATGGAAGTCTTATCAACTCCCAGTCACACAACGACGACGACGACACAGTAAATTATTCATTATTGTTGTTATAAATAGATATATATCTTTATCCCGCCTGGGTGCTTGTTTAGAAGGATTATCCCCTGGACATCAGTGACTTTCACATGTGAAGCTGCCATTGGTTTGACCAAATGTCATATGGTTGCTTTACTTTCTAGTTGTATTTAATTTTTTTTTTTTTAAAAACAATCCGTATAGTTGACTTGTGTTGTGAATTACTGCGCCTTGCTTTTCTTCGTTTCGTAAAACATGCACTTTCATCCATGTTTTATAAGTCTCACCTTTTTTTTTTTGTTGCTTTAGTGCCACCAACATTTTACATGGTTTCTCCTGAGCCTCAGAATGTCTCGCTCACCCTGAACAGAGTGCAGTCAATGTAACGTCAGCACAGGACGAGTTTCCATCAGAGGAAAACAATGGTTCCCTCGTCTCAGCTGGTCCAAATTCAGCTGAAAATATTGATCCCAAATGTTGCTCTAACTCTTGTTAATTCACGATTCTTCGAAGCGTTATTGTAGACAGCGGTGGTAGCGGTCTGTGTCACAGCAAATTTGTGGAAGCCTCTGACTGAAGACACTCAGTTTTTCTAAGACAGTCTCATGAAGAGGATGGTCTGTAATTTTCTAGATTTTAAGTCAAATCCGTTTTTGCACCATCGTCTTGAGAAGTTCTACAGTCTTCACTACGAAAGCCTTAACGTTGAGATTAAAATAACTACGTTTTTTTTAACAATCAGAAATATTTGAGAACTTGAGGAAGTTAACGTCTTTGCCAGCATGACACTATAAGGGAGAACATTGATATCAGAACACCTGATTCAGTGGAATAAGATGTTCAAGCATTCGTTCTCTGTTTTTGAGCTCCTAATTATACAGTAAAATCAGATATTTACGTACACTCAACAAAAAGACATAAACATATTCTTTTCCTTGTTGTCTGAAGGAAAAGAATGTTCCAAATTTTTTTCCATTTGCTAAATGCCTGAAGCTTGGCGTGAACATTTTTTTCTCTATAGATTTTGTTTTGCGACTTTCGTTGAATTTGGTCAATGAAATCGTCGTATCAGGGATGATGCCGTTTTATCAGTGTGTGTCTTTATCTTGACTAGATTTCGACTGTGACACACACTGACCTGATCCAGACACTTTTCATAAAGACACACACACACACACACACACACACCATGTGTAAGTTATTCGTGAACACAGAGACGAACAGAATCTGCACGTTTCAGATTTTAACTTCGTTAATGTTAACATAAGAGAGCGTTCCACTTTTTCAAAGTAGTGCTCACAAGAATTGTGACAATCAGCTGTGTGAACAGTACGCAGCCTTACTACCTTTTTGCATTTTCTTAAGGTAAAAACCAGAAATTTCTTTGTGCTATATTGGGTTTTTATATGATCAAGATTAAGTCTTATGTGGCGGTGAAGTGGTTCTGGTGATGCTCTGCTCCTCTAATCTGGAACAAACTTCCAGAAAACTGAAAAATATGTTGAAACACTGAGTTCCTTTAAATCAAGGCTTAAAGACTCATCTGCACAGAGTTCTCTTTGATGAATAAAAACTGGAACATCTTTAGTTGTTCTCCGTTTTCTGACCTTTCGCCGCTTTCCTTTACTTTGTTTCTGAGATGTAATGCTTCTCGCCGTTTCATGTTTTCATCATGTAAGGCACTTTGAATTTTCTCTCTACTGAAATGTGCTACACAAATAAAGCAGCCTTACCTTGACTTGACAAGTGATATTTAATGCATGCTTTCAGTCCATCATGTTTTAATAGATCCACGTTAAAGAATGGGGGGGAAAAAAGCGTCCAAGTGTGTAAAAGAAGACCTTTTTTTAACATGTTTTAGTAAGAACACGGGCACTGCTGAAAAGTTTTACAAGTTATCAGGCAAACAGCCGATTTTTTTTTCCGATTTTGTTTGAAGTTAAATCAGACCAAACTTCTGTTGTTTTAGGTCAGTTAGAATTGCAAACATTGTTTCTATTTCCTAAATGCCACAAGAATGAGAAAATTAATATGTCAGACATTGATTTATGAATGTCTTTACAGTCAGACGTTTACATGTAGAATGATTTCTACGTCTTTAAACGAGGGAAAGTCGATGTGATGACGACATGAACAAGACAATTCTACCAAATACCGAGATGTATGTAAACTTCTGACCCTGAAGATATTATTAAACAAACCTCTGCCATATGTTTTTCTCTCAGTGACTTTTAGCAAACAGAAACAATGTTGGTTGTTCTAACTAAGTGAAAACAAGAGAAATTTGGAGTAATTTAACTCCAGACGGTGAGGAAACAAAGGCGGTTGAGTCGTTTTATTTTATTCTACTTTATTCTTGAAAATTAAGGA